GTAAAGTGTAGAATTTTTGAGGGCTTAAAATTAGTTGATATACATGTATTTTACATTTTATTGAAATAATTGTTTTCACTTTCCCAGGTTTCCGAGGTGTATGAAGATTTTGCAGCAGCTGATGCACCAATGATCTGCAGCATGGGAATCAGCCATGAATTTCCCCTTGTTGACTCTGCCCTTGGCAAAGTTCAGGCTGGAAGTCCTCTGTCCTACCAACAGCCAGCAACAGCAAAGAGAGACATGTCCTTCCATGCTGCACCACCCCGCCCATCTCTGCCTCTTAAGAACTACCACCTACAGCCATCAAAAAGCATGTTTGTTTGTTCTGAACCACAACAGCTACACCTTAAAAGTATGGAGGTCACCTGGGACATGGTGAATAAATTTGAATGTGCTACCAGAGCACAGAGTACATGTCCTGAATGGCATCAGCTAAGGAGGCATAGGTTGACTGCCTCCCGCTTCAGGGAGATCTGCCAGGTTCGAGATAAATCTGAGGAAGATCTGGCAAATCGTCTGCTGCAAGGGACCTATCAGACTGCAGCTATGAAGAGAGGGCTTGAATTAGAGGCAGATGCTATCTGGGAATATTGTCAAATTAAAAGAGTCAACCACTATCCCTGTGGATTTGTGATTCACCCTGATGCTCCTTGGCTAGGGGCATCTCCAGACGGATTGATCTTTGATCCTTCTGAGCCATGTCAGTTCGGGCTGATTGAGATTAAGTGTCCAAATGTGAAAAGTTATGTTGACTGTCCATATCTCCAAATGAAGTCAGGCAAATTGGAACAAAAAAAAACTCATGCTTACTATTGGCAGGTTCAGGGGCAGATGCTAATAACTGGGATGAACTGGTGTGATTTTGTTGTCTCAGCTGAGGAAGATATTCTTATTCAAAGAATTTATGCAGACACTAATGTGATGGATTCAATCAAACACAAAGTAGACAGATATTTTTTCTATGTTTACCTGCAGAAATGTCTAAATTAGGAGTTTGATCAAATCAAATGTACAAATTTGTTTCAAAATATTTCCATCATGAATATCTATTTACAAATGTAAGACAATGTCAATGTAAGTAAATGACAGCATTTTCTGTTTCTTCAAGACTGTGCCATCAGCTTTTCTGTCAAACTTCATATCTCCATTTCCTGACCAAAGGTCCATTTTGGGATGAAGGTGTTTGACACCGTAGTTCTGTACAGTCCAGGATAACTTGTGTGTCACTGTAGCGGCCATCAAAATCCTGTGGAAGACTGGAACTCACAGCTGCAGGAGACATCCACACACAAATTGAGCCCAATAAGCAGTACAGGAAGTTGGCCCATGTCACAATAATGCGGCTGACTGTTGCTCTGTGGATGTTAAATCGATGGCCCAGTTCCCTCTGGGTACATCCAGTAGACAGGTAGGAGAGGAAAAGAAAAAGCTCATCTATTGGCAGCAGTTTCTGGACAGAAAATTATTTAAATGTTAGTTCAAAACCAGCATTCTCATTGTGTGTGTGTGTGTGTGTGTAACTTACAGTTGGTCTGGTAAAAGGGGTTTCAGTTGTTGTACTCATGACGTCGGTTTTCTTTGCTCTGGTGACCCTGACCATTTTGGCTGTTGCTGCCTCGATCAAGTTCCAAAACGCCTTCAGATGCTCATATGAGGGGAACCTAAAACACATTAAAAAAAAAAAAAATATATATATATATATATATATATATATATATATATATAAACTGTCACTCTCCACATTTATAACTGTGAAAACAGTTTTCAAATTTTGACACGGTACAACTAAGAACATAAATATCTTTCTTTGAAATTTTATGTTGTAAAGTGGAAAGAAAATTATACATGATTTGAAGGTTTGTAATTTTTTTATAAATTGAAAACTATTTTGAGCACAAATGTTCAGCCCCCTTAAATCAGAGAGTAACTTCTAGTCTTCATAAGTTTCCTGATGATTGCTAATGGCATAATAGTCAGCCTGTGTGTCATCTAATCACAGAAACCAACTATTTTCACCGACCTGAGGCTGTCACTAGCTGCTGTATTTGTATTTGACATTAGTTTACACACGGGTGGACTCCATAGCCATTTGTAATCATTAAAGCTATTTCTGAAGGAATATTGGTTACAGAAAAGGGAGCCGATTACTCTTACACACCACACTTTTCAGTATCATTTGTAAATACAGTACTACTAGTACTAGTACTACTACTACTACTACTAATAATAATAATAATAATAATAATAATAATAATAATGTGTTACATTATGTATAATTTCATTTCCACTAGTAAGTGTGTACTTGTGTTGGTCTCTCAAAGAAAATTACAATGAAATTGTTTTTGGTTGTAATGTGACAAAATATACAATGACTCAAAGCGTATTAATTTTTTTCAGAGGCATAACGTAATATTTAGATTTTACAACTCTGACCTGGTGTAAAATCTGATGTCTTCTGGTGACGTAGAAAAACGTTTCAGTCCAAACGGCTTTTGAAGACTACAGGATCGGAGCTGCTCTTTCAGTTGCTCAATTTCTCTCAGCATGCTGTGATATTGCTCCCGGTCAACACACACGGTTCTGCTGGCGCCGTAGTCATGGTCCACGACCATAGGTACCATGACGGGTGGTTCATTGTCCTCAATTGGATCCGCCGAATCAGGTTCTGGATTAGATGGTCGACAACGGCGCTCCCAAACACCTGCTCGTGTCTTCCTGCTGTATTTGTTCCACTCAAATAATGATGGAACGGACCCAGCTGCTAAAATTCGTCTTCCCTTTTCTGTAGTAATTACTTCATTCTCCAGGAAATGTCGGCTACATACCTTGGTGTGAGGAGTTACCGTAAATCCCTCTCTTCTGATTTTTTGCAGCCAGCACAAACGAAGGCTTGTCTCCTTAGGGAAACGGTGAAAGCTCAAACGGCTATTATAGCGACCTGAAGACGAGCAAAGCGGCACACAACAGTGCTCCTTAGACCCAAACACCGTCGGCTGAAATCTAAAGCTGCCACGCACGTTATATTTTTGTTTATTTGACGCAGCAACACTCATTTTAGTTGTTTATCTCTGGGATGACAGGATACAGGAATTAAACCGGAAACTGGAATGCCGACATCCGGTCAAAGCGGAAGTGATTCAGGACGCATGTGCACAGAGCCTATTACCTTGACTTTTGTTTTCCTTGCTGGATTACTTTTGACTTTTGTTTCTTTGCTGGATTACATCAAGCTTCAAGGACAATCGAAGGCGTAAGTTCATAGTTGGAATTCATCCCCATGGACAGGTGATGATTTCCAAAGGGGGGACTGTAGTGAACTTAAGCTGATGTCACGACTAAGCCTAAGGTCAAAACCCTTGACCTTAAGAACCTTTTGGGACAGAAACTGTCATTTCATTGATTTGAATCCAGAGATACAGGTTCACCCATCCTGAGACTCTCTTTCTTGATAATCAAGTGAAAGAACACTCTCTTTTTTATTATCATTACTATTTTACAGATGTTGATAATCAAAGTGTCTTAGTTCAAACCATTTTAGATGTTGCAGTGAACTAATCAATTTTATTAACTGTGTAATGATTTTTAATTCTCATGCAAGTGTGCGTTCCAGGGTCAGGAGTCGAAGCAGACATGCGTTGGAACAACTGTCTTGTTTATATCCTCTCAGACGTCAACAGGGGGGTTTTGGCACCTGTTTCTGAAACTCGCCAAAACAAAACTCTCTCTGTCTGTGAGAACATTTCTGATCTGTTCCATAACAATTCTTGCTGCATTCTAACCTTTTACGTCACAAAACACACCCCATCTGGTCGGTTCTGGCCAATGGGAATACTCCCAGATGAACCGGGAAAAGAGCTCTTTAAAATGTCGGTACTTCCTGGTCTAACCAGTTCTGTGAGGGTTCTACTCGGTTCGGTTGAGTTCAGTTCTGTTCAGTTCTGTGCGGAGAAGCCCAGTTCTGGGGGCCGGGAAGATCCTGACATGACAACAGAGCTCTTCCGAGTTTCATGGGATTATAACATTTTCCACTGAGGTGAGCTGTGAGGGACAGAATCTCGCCGCTACTCCGGACGAGTAACAGCATCCTACGGAGACGCTGAATGGGTGCGTTAAACGGAATCTCGCCTGAGACATCTCCAGGTAAAAGAGTCGATTTCACCACCTAAGTGTACTGTAAGGAAAAGCTGAAGAAAGCCCGGAGAGTGCCGTTCTGTCAACACTCCCTCAAACACCATCTTACTCCCTCTAAACTTCTTTCCCATCTTTAAACTCTTCTATCAAGTAGATATTCTTCCAGATATTTTAGAAATGTCTGTGTAAAGTGCTCATCCACATCCGTGTGGGTAAAAGATCATAATTGTACAGTTTTCATAAATGTCTGTGGTGACGCAACGGAAAAATCATGGCCGTATGATTTTTCCTGATTGATTGCTTATGTTGTTATTTTCATAATTTGCCAAATTAATGTAAATGTTTGATGTTAAACTTTGATTCTGTAAATAAATGACCGCATTCATTTTGATGGGTCAAATATAAATGACGTCTCACGTTTGCATTTCATTAAATTCAATGTACGTTTTATTCAGTTCAGAAAAATGAGGAATCCGTGTTAATTGATGAATATATCTGAGCATCTGTTCATCTACACAAACACGGCCATTATGTGAGAAATTGTCAGCTCCGTTTAAAAGGAAGACACCCTCAATAGGTCAGGAGATATTGGTGGGTAGTGTGACCTCTTCTCCAGAGAAAAGTTTTTGTCTACCTGCAATAATTTGTTTTAAGAATGTAAATTTCCCCATCCAAGCACTGATTGATTCCGGAGCTGATTAGAACCTTATTTCTCTAGATATCATCGAACATCTCAATCTACCCATGGTTCCTTTAAATAATTCTGTCAATGTTTCAGGTCTCACCGGCCAGACCATTACCTCCATCTCTCACTGGACTCGAGACCTTCACCTGGTTCTGTCAGGCAACCATCATGAAAAATGTGAGTTTTTTATTTTTGACTCCCCGAGACCTCAACTTATTTTAGGCTATCCCTGGTTAGTTAAACACAACCCCCAAATCGATTGGAGGGATAACCTGATTGAACGTTAGGGCGATACTTGTTCTGTTGACTGTTTGCACTCGGCCATTTCATCAGGGTCCTTTTCACACCCCCGTCCAGGAAGAAATTGACCTTTCCAAAGTACCCCCCATATATCATGCTCTTGCCCCGGTCTTCAGCAAACAGGAGGCCATCTCTCTACCACCCCACAGACCTTATGACTGTCCTATTGATCTCCTTCCTGGTGCCCCTCTGTCGTCCAGCAGACTCTACAACCTGTCGTGCCCAGAAAGGGAGACTACGAGGCAGTATATAGAGGAGTCCTTAATCAGGCATAATCCGTCCATCCACGTCTCCCCTCGGTGCAGGGTTCTTTTTTGTATCTAAAAAAGACAAGATTTTGAGACCCTCCATCGACTTCAGAGGCCTTAACAAGATTACCATCAAGAACAAGTATCCCCTGCCACTTATCGACTCCGTATACGAACAGCTACAAGATGCCAAGATTTTCACCAAGCTAGACCTCCGCAATGCCTACCACCTGGTAAGAATCCGAGAGGGGGACGAATGGAAGACTGCATTCAAGACCCCCCTTGGACATTTTGAATACCTGGTCATGCCTTTTGGCCTCACCAACGCTCCAGCAGTTTTTCAGAACCTTATCAATGACGTCCTACGAGACTTTCTGCTTGTATTTGTCTTTGTGTATCTCGACGATATTTTGATTTTTTCCAAAGACCCGACTCAACACACTAGTGATGTCAAGGCTATTCTTCAGAGACTCTTGGAAATCAAACTTTATGTCAAAGCTGAGAAACGTGAGTTTCATTTGTCATCTGTAACTTTTCTGGGTTTTATTTTTGAAGAAGGACAGGTCCGGTCAGACCCAGAGAAGATTAAAGCAGTAGCAGAGTGGCCTACTCCCCAGGATAGGAGACAGCTCCAACGATTCCTGGGTTTCTCCAATTTCTACTGACGTTTTATCAAGAACTACAGTCAGGTAGCCACACCACTAACCCAACTCACCTCCTCTCTCCGAAAATTTGTCTGGTCCCCAGAAGCTGAGGATGCTTTCCTGAAACTTAAGACACTCTTCTCCTCAGCCCCCATCCTCTCCCACCCGGATCCCCATCGGCAGTTCATTGTGGAGGTGGACGCATCGGATACTGGGGTGGGTGCAGTACTCTCTCAGAGATCCTCTATAGATGGTAAGATCCACCCCTGTGCCTTTTTCTCTCGGCGGCTGTCTCCCGCTGAGAGAAATTACAATGTGGGAAACCGAGAACTGCTGGCTATAAAACTGGCCCTGGAAGAATGGAGGCATTGGCTGGAGGGAGCAGAATTACCCTTTGTAATTTGGACAGATCACAAAAACCTCGCATACATTCAAGGGGCTAAAAGACTCAACGCCCGCCAGGCTCGCTGGTCATTGTTTTTCGGCCGATTTAATTTTTCTATCACATACATCCCTGGTTCACGTAACGTTAAACCTGATGCTCTTTCCCATCAGTTCTCATCATCCGAGACAGAGTCACCTGGTCATATTCTACCCCAGTCCTGCACGGTGGCAGTCATGACATGGGACATCAAAAAGGAGATCCTTGAGGCCCAAAGGAGTGAACCTGACCCCGGCACCGGTCCCCCAGGGAAGAGATTTGTCCCTTCTGCCGTCATAAGTAAGGTTCTACACTGGATTCACTCTGCCAGATTTTCCTGTCATCCAGGCATGAGACGCACAGTTTCACTCGCAAAGAGAAACTTCTGGTGGCCTAACATGGAGAAGGATATCAGGGAGTACGTGTCCGCATGCACAACCTGCACTTGTAACAAGAACAGTAATCAACCCCCGGCGGACCTCCTCCATCCCCTTCCTCCACCTGGGCGTCCATGGTCTCACATAGCTTTGGATTTTGTCACTGGATTACCAATTTCTGAAGGTAACTCTGTTGTATGTACAATCATTGATCGCTTCTCCAAGGCAGCACACTTCATCCCTCTGGTTAAACTACCTCAGCATCAGAGACAGTCCAGATCCTGATTAAACATGTTTTTCGGTTACACGGCATACCCCTTGACATAGTTTCTGACAGAGGTCCACAATTCACTTCAAAGGTCTGGAAGGCCTTCTGCCATGCCTTGGGAGCCACCTCAAGCCTGACGTCGGGATACCACCCTCAGTTTAATGGACAGACTGAGAGGTGCAACCAGGAGCTCGAATCTGCATTAAGGTACGTTATTGAACACAACCCAACCTCCTGGAGCAAACACCTGCCCTGGGTTGAATATGCCCATAATTCTCAAACTTCGTCTGCCACAGGTCTGTCTCCTTTTGAAGCCTATCTGGGATACCCTCCACCTTTATTTCCCTCCCAAGAGTCTGACATCTCTGTTCCTTCTGTTCAGCATCATCTACGTCGGTGTTGTAGGATTTGGCGCCAGACCAGAACAGCCCTCCTTCGGACAGCCGAGCAAAATAAAAGATTTGCCGACCGACACCGTTCCTCCGCACCAAAGTATCAGGTGGGGCAGAAGGTATGGTATCCACTAGAGACATCAAATTAAAAGATACGCCCAGAAAACTAGCCCCCAGGTTCATCGGCCCCTTCCCTATAATCAGAGTCATCAACCCTGCAGCTGTCCGTCTCCAACTACCTCCCACCCTGAGGATACATCCCACTTTTCATGTCTCCCAAATTAAGCCCGTCTCTGTCAGCCCGCTCAACTCACCTGCCAACCTCCCTCCACCCCCCCGGCTCATGGACAACGACCCTGTTTATTCTTTCAGACGCCTGCTGGATGTTTGTCGCAGGGGTCGAAACCTTCAGTACCTTGTGGACTGGGAAGGCTATGGGCCTGAGGAGCGATCGGAGGTTCTCCGATCCTTCATTTTGGACTCCTCCCTAATCACCACTTTTTATAGGGATCACCCAGCCAAGAAGAAATCGCTTGGAGGCGATGTTTGAGGGGGGGCACTGTGGGATTCTCTGCCTTCTCCTTTAACCTTCTCACTCTCTCCAACTAATTGGCTGATTAGCTGCACCTGCTACCAAGTCCTGTACCTCCACCTCCTGCTCTACTTAAGCCACAACCAGATGTTCAGC